CAGCAGGAACCACACCCTGTGTGATCAGATGAAGCCACGTGGTATTTAGAAGGCGGTTGATACTAAGAACACATCCACTGCAAGGCAAGGCCAGCTCTTTTGCCAGGGGGCCCTTAGCTCTGCTTGTAGCCTTTGCTGTAGAGCACGCTCGAGGGGACCTTGCATCTGTTTCTCTCCCTCATGCAGTGTGATGAGCTAAGTGCAGCCACACTCGTGAACAATGTTTTATGTTCGCCCACAAATACATTTAATATGCTCTTGTCTTTAACTTCTGGTGAAAAGGTCGATTTAGAGTTGCCTCGGAGCACATGGTGGGGCTGTTCACAGGTCTCTGACTACAGAGCAGTTGCTGCCAGTGGCATATGGGGGTCAAGCCCGGTGTTAATTCGGGCTAGGCACTAGCTCGCCAATTTTAACAGATGGCCCAAAATGCCAAACAACAGTCAGCACCACTAGATTAGCACCTGATACTGGTAGGTCTTTAACCAAGACAACAGTTGAAGTGTTGTATTCCCTTTATAGGGAAACGAACACGGGAACACCCCTGCCCCCCAGTTAAACTGAAACTATTCAAGACTTACTTGATCTGAGTCAAGTGTAACACGCAGACCTAGCTTAGTCATTCCATCTTCTTTCAACAATTTCAGATGAGGACAGAGGGCTAAACAGAATGCCTTTGCCACGTTCTCAGTCAACCTGCTGTGATCGGCTGGGTCACTCAGACCATTATGTTGCTCATCATTTTCGAGGAAAAACACCTGAAGGAAAGGGTTAACACACGGCATTACCACTTTTCTAGAAAATAAGGTTACAGAGATGCTATTTCAATGTTTTACAAATGAAGACTTACTTAAAAGAAGAGCTGCTCAGGGAAGACCAGCAAAAGACCCTGAAGACAAGCCACCTTGGGGCTGGGGGAACCTTCAAAAGATTTTTAATAGTTGTGTGCTCAAAAACCTTTCAGTTCTGGTCAAAAGCCTCATTATGGAAATTCACTGTGTATTGCACAGTTTTTAATAAAAACCTGCTTTTAAACAGATGTTCATTTCAGAAAATTCACATTTTTTTTTTTTTTTAGTAGAAACCATCCCAGCCTGAAGATCTGTGCTGCTGTTGCCACTGAACTTGTCTCTGTTGAGCTCAGCCAGCCTGGGAAAAAAGGAGACTAAGGCGGCAAGCTGCAGAGTGATTAACGTGGTTCCTCCTGGGCAGGTTAAGTGAAACATTTGAAGAAATCTTTTAACACCAGTATTTGTGTGCTGGCAGAGTCACAGCTACCATCAGCTATGCAAGCAGGTTCTGCACGTGATTTATGCCACAGCACTTTCATTTTAACTTGAAACATTCAGGTTCTGCACGTGATTTATGCCACAGCACTTTAAAAATGTTTCAAGTTAAAATGAAAGTGGCTCAAAATACTTTTTTTTTTTTTTTTAAATAATTATTGATTTGTCTCCATTTAAAACGGTAGTTTTTAACACAAATGCAGATGAAACTGACTGTTACTTTGGGTAACACAGTGAGCAAGTATTTTTCTAGTTCCCCCATGTTCAAAAACCATACACAAGAAGGGCAGATGCAGTCGGCTGCAAGCGCCAGCTGAGACAGCAGCCTGAGCTGCACATCAGCAGTGGGATATTTTACCCTGCACTATGCCGTACTGAGTCTTTCCTTGCAGATAGGAAAGGTAATACCGGTTTGTTCTGAGGAATTTGCTGCTTTAACTTTGGTGAGTAGGGAGAGCAGGTTGACAGGAGACTAGGCTGTAGTTGCAATCCCAAAATGCCAAGCGTTGGTCTACATGCAGCTCAATTTGACTGACTTACCTCTGTCCACCTAATGACCTTCCCATTTGCCTTGTACTCTGAGCCATGAAATATCTTCACGCTTGTTATAGACTCCATTGATTTGCCGTCAATAGGGCTTACAACACTGTAAAAGGGAGGGAAAAGGCTAAAGTTCTGACTTAGCAGGAGACATGGGCAGAACCAAGAACAGTTCAAAAGAGAACTACATTGGGATCAGAAGGCAGCTCCGCTGCTACACCTGAATCCTCCCACTCCCTCGCTGCTGGTTTTTTTTCATAACCATTTTCATCATATTTTTCATCATCAGAGTGCTCTGCAATTTGAACTGCTACTACCCAGCAGCTTACCACATCAGCTTAATGGGGTGTAGGCCAAAATTCCCTCAGAAGGGCACCCCTCAAAGGCTTCTCTCAGGTGCCAAAGCCAGAATGCAACTGCTAATTGTGGCGACAGTGCTGGGCCTGGAGCTTCACAGTGAGCAGCCTTTCTGGAATGGGCTCCCACGGGGCTGAGCAGAGGAAAGAGCTGAGAGGCAGCGTGTTCCCCGCTGTCCCCTGCAGCGCCTACCCCAACACCCGCCCTGGTCAGTAAGCACAAACCGGTGCAGGAAGGACCTTCCTGAAGGTTTTCAACAAGGCTTTGCACCAGAGCTGAGATCTTGTAAGGTGCTAGCACAGCAATGAGGCATTTCATAGAGATTTGATTTTTATTCATTTGTAACCTCAGTATAGGCCAACAAGAACTGAAACACTAGTTACACAGCCCAGAATTTAATTACACAACCTAAGACTGACCCCCAGAGCCTAAAACTACAGAAATATCCTTCTTTCTTTGCTGAGTCCTTAAACATTGTACCCGTCACAACAGCACTTTACTGTCATAAATACTTAAGCTGCCATATACACCTTTCTTTTGGCTTAACTATCATGAGTCCAAATACATTACTGATGTTCAGCGATTTTATTTCCAGCACCACTTAATGCAAACTAAGCACCAAGACCACAATATGCGGGGTTCAGCACTGAGTGTTGGAGCCAGATTAGTGGTTTCCGCTAACTGGATATTAGCAGTGGCAAAAAATCCATAGCATTGACAACTTTTTTTAAATTGATGCCCCAAAGCTCTGGTATCTCAATTCCATTTTCATTACATTTAATTGCATCTTATCACTCAAAATAGAGGCATACGCTTGTAATTCCTATTGATTTGAAGACTCATGCACCTTATAAGATCAATTAAAATTTTTAACAAATACAAACAGTCACCATTCAATGTCAAGCAATTGTCCCTCTACTTACCCCTTACTGAAGTTTTTATCGTCTTCTACCCACTGAATATGAACGTGTTCCTGAGGATCTTCAGCATCTACTTTGCCACAAGTGATGGTAAAGTCTTTCATCTCTCTCAAGGCCTGCCTCAACGAGTCCATGCTCTCAGCAGTTATCTGGACCATTACTCCATCTAGGGAACCAAGAAATAAGAAATAACCCAAGATAAGCCACGTTGAACAGAGCCTATAAAAAAAAAAAAGAAATAAACATCCTTCCTGTCTTTGCTACACAAAGGTTAAACATCTGTTTTAAAAGTCATAGGCAGCAATGCTACAAAAGACCATTTCTGAGCTCTCAGATTCCTAAAAAGTAGCACTGATGAGCATTGACTAGGGAAAAACACAAGGATAATGTGAAGTCCATCTACCAGGTAAAGTCAGCCATAGCAATGGCCACATTTGTTTGCCCCCAAACTTGACACCTGCTCTAGGCAACCCTCAGAAACCCCGTGTGATCCCCCACTCCCCCATTCAGCTATCACGTCTGTTGGCACTAGAAGCAGCATTCCAGAGGTGACTGAGTTTTTGGGAAGTCAATACTTGCCTGGCAGTGGCAAAAGATACAGAATTTGGATTGGATCAGTCTAAATTACTGCAAAAATAACTTAGGAATGATACACCTCCCCAGTGTACAGACTCCCTGCCTGAATCTTGCACTAAACCACCAATTTAGACACAGAAAATTTTATAATGACCTACATGTGCTGATTTACAGTGAGATGGCTGCACCCATGGACTGCATGGTCATACAGCTGCAAGCTCTCAAGTTGGCGCAGCTTAAGGAGCTCCTGCTCGTCAGTGCAGCTGTGCTAACTGAATGCACACATGGGCTTCTTGCATACCTCACTCACAAACTGTAAGGAGCACATGTAAAACACTCCTGTCTGCGGTGAGGTTAGACTACAAAGTTCTGTAGCTCAGCTAACAAGCAGTAACTGCTTTCAATCCAGTGTACACAGTCGGCATTTATTTCTGTGATATGACAACTGGTGAAAGAACAAAAAACCAAATCAGGGAGGTAGCAGCTCAACAATCTCAACTTGTCATGTTCTCATCTGCCCACATACAAGAATATAAACAATGCACATTCATATTCTTGCATAATACAGAGCTATTTGGGAACAGAGTACGTTTAGCAGGGCTTCCTCCCCTGGTTGGTGGATTACACATTCCGTATTTCTTAGGCTCACAATTTCCTCATTCAACCCAAACCAGTAAACTGATCACAGGCTCACAAGCCAGGTATTTCGTTCTACAGCACCTGGACAAGTTCCTCCTCATTAAAGGAAACAGGGTGGGGTGGGGTGGGAAGGGTTTGGCTAAAAAGTAGGATAAAGCTGAAGAAGCAGCGCAATTCAGATGTCTGAGGCATAACAGCAGAGCCCCGATAACAACAGAGCTGAGCCATGTTAAGAGGGAAGCAGCGCGCTTTAAGCAAGCAGTTCAGTTCTTACCTTCTACTATACTGGATTTGGCAAGGTAGCCTGAAGAGGATTTTAAAGCTCCACTGAACACAAAGAAGCTGGCACCAGTCACTGCAACAACAACAGGAATGATTTAGTGAGGCTTTGGTCAAAACAATACCTTACACAAGAATCGGGTATCACAACTCTGTCATGCAGAGAGATGATTAATCTAAATCAGGACAAATGCTGCTTAGAACTATGGTGACTTTAATGCACACCACAGACTTGGATATGGAAGGGCAAATTACCCAGTTGTTTTCTAAACTGGACAATAATTTTTGTTAACCTTAATGAATGTTCATATTTGATCACTCTCCCTCTCCCCAAACAGACCTCTAAGTTTCAGGACTACTAATTTAGGGTAACCAGGTATGTAATTAACTTCTAAAAGTTCCCACACAGCTGGCAAAGATTGTGAGCAAGCTGTTTATGGATCACACTGTAACACCAGCCCATTGGCAAGGCTACAGCTCAAAGCCACCTGATTTAAAGTAAAATTCTCTTAAATGACCACTAAGCATCATGAAATTCCTGCTGGAAATCCCTCTTTTTGTCCCATACGTAAAATGAACAGAAGTCAAATAAGAGCATCAGTCCTGAGTGGCATCCCATGCCAGTATACTCACTGGAGCGACTGGGGATACTTGCAAAACATAAAAGTTGGCCTCTGTCTTGCTTGTTCTCACTTGGAGATAGTATATATGCCTTTCCCAGAAGTCTTCCCCCAAACCACAGCATTTAAATTCTCAGCACACTGCTGCTGCAGCCTTCCAGCCCACTCTAACAAAAATAAAGCCTGGAAATTAGATGGTCTAATTGAGGTGAACATGAGGAGTTTCCTGAAGATGCATTATTAAAATGCTGCTGGTTTTGGTTATTCCTGTTTACCTTTCTCTCATACTAAATCTAATCTTCCTCCTTTCACATCGTGTAAGTCAAGCAGAGGCAACCACAACCTCACCTGTAGTCTCCAATAATGCCAAAGACAGCTCTCATTATTAATGTGGAGATGTTGCCTAAGCCAGCTACAGCACTGTGACCTCGGGAGCATCGCAAGTCCTGAGTTGTACTGCGCAAGCAGTATTACCATGTTTACAAGGGAGCAAGCCGTTTTGCGTTTTATTTTATGTCTGCTTGATCTATGAAGTTGCTAGAACACCTCTCAGACAAGTTGAGAACAGCACCATTGACCTAGAGAAGTGTGATGTGGACTGTACACAGGATGCAAACCATACAGTGTGCCCCCTGACATCTGAGATCATGGATTCTGCAAGGGGAATAAAACACTTAGGGGGTAAAGGGCAGACAGAGCAACGTGTTCCTATTCCTTGTGTTGAATATGGAACTCACAAAGCTGCCCATTCAGTGACGCCAGCAGTCAGAATTATTTTCTCTGAGTGTCTAACAGAAACTCAGTGAAACATAGACAAACCCAGTTCTGACCGATTCACAAAGCTGCATGCTGGAATGGTAACACAAATGGCAAACAAGTCGTGCAGAGAGGGAATGGCCTCCCCGTGAACCCCCGTTCTCACCCTTCCTTGGCTGATTATGGATGCTGATGGCCTGCGTCTGGTAATTCCCGTCATCATTCTGAACACACACCAGATGCGAGTCTGCTTTCTCATTGAAGCACGCTCCCCCTGCTAGAACATGCTCGTTGGATTTGTTCATGGCTTTCATCATCTGCAAACAAAAAGGTTTACCATTTCTACCCCGTTCGTCAAGCGCTGCCATAAATAGGTGATTCTTGGAACAGTTTAATCGGAGGAAGCTTCTCAACAGTGCTCATATCCTTATGTTAGATTTTAGCACTCAGAACCATAAACTGCTTTTGAAAAGAGAGATCAGGTCTTATACCATCTAGAAGCTTTGAAGTGCCACCTTTTATATAATCAAGATAAATGGTATAAGGGATAGCTGAGCTATATAGGTTACAAAAGGTATTATCTCTAGCTGCTTTAAAAAAAATAAACTAACAGGAGAAAAACATAAGAAAAACATTAGATGGAAATATCTGGCTTGTTTACACAACTACAGTTGCTTATGACACAAATCATAAATGCTGCTTCCAGTGGCACTCAGGCTTGTGGCATTTAATCCTCGTTCTGCCATGACCAGACACCAAAGCTTTAGTGTCTCTGTGCTTCACCTGCATGAGTTGGTGAAATGGAGGTCAATGTTCATAATCTGAAGATTTTTTTAAAGATATCTGAATCATAGAGGTCCAGAAATAATTGTAATTCTCTGAAAAGGAGGCCTCCGAAAAGCATCCAAAACCATTTGTAATACATCTGCACTTCAGTTTTGCTGATTACCATCTAACATATATGCCTTAACAAAATACTCTTGTAAATTATATAGCTTCTTTCTTTCTCTCCTCTCTTCCTCTTCACGGAGGCTCAGACTGAGATCTTTGATCCAAAAGAAAACCAGGGGAATCATCATTTGTTTAAAAACCAAAAAGAATATGTTTGCTTAAAAAAAAAAAAAGGCAGTGAAAATGCTGATGAGAAGGAAAATGCTGAATTATTTGACATCTCTTAACAACCCTCATACTCCCATCCTCTGCTTCCTGTAGCTGATAAGCATGCACGCTACACACAACACATTTGTCTCTCTCAATCTAACATAAAACCTTAATTATAGTGTCAGAAACATTAGCTGATGCTCACTATTGACAAATGTGCACAGGTGTAATGTTTGGGGAGGAAACTTAATTAAGATTTTGCATCAGACAACAGTGTATTTCATTATCTAGTTTATATCACGTCATGCTCCAGAAACAAGGTTTTTGCTCAACAGCAGCCATCTTCATGGAGCCCAGTAGTTGCTGTTAGCATAAGAAGAAATAACTGGACATGGTAACTGTACTTTGTGACAAGGCACCTGACTAAAAAAATAACAGTCACCTTTCCTGAGGGACTACACAGGCAACTATCATTACAAGTTGTAGAAAATTAAAATAATTTTGAAGATAAAAAAATGTATTTAATAAAACTATATAATAACATTTAATTTGTTAATTACAATCTGAATTCTCCACATTTAATCTGTCCATGAGATTTAAAACAAGTTTTTAACTTTCTAGATAGTTTGAGTGACACTCTTTTCTAATTAAATACTGCTTTACATGAGAAAAAAAATTAAGGTCTTGTGGTTTAATTCATTTTAATTCAAACTATACTCAGATGAAAAACCTCTAGTAATTCAATCTTTCAACTGGATTGCAAGCAATAATGTTAAATAAGTAACACTTTCTCAATTTAAAAAGCTGAATCCCTGCTTCACACTGGAAAAAGAAGCCAAACACAATGCAGAGATTTTGCTAAGCTGCATAGCACAGGGATTTCCTCACAGCCCAGCTTAGTGCAATGCCTAACACAGACCCAAAGCGAACACACTTGCAAACGCCAGGCACAGCTAACACTTACAAAATTGCATCTTGTGTGCCAATCCCTATTTAATTCATGCAAACCTTACTGACCTTTTCCATTTTCTCATAACTGCATCAAGAATTAATACAGCTTTTAACAGACCCTTTATCTTCTTGCTTCATCAGTTTCAGCTTTTTCAAACTTCACGTAAGAACACTTTTTCCCTTTTTTTTAATTGATTTCTTTACTTTGCTCTCACTATTATTTTACTCAAATGCACCTTTGGCGGGAAATTCTCTCTTGAGATAAAGCTGTATTCTGCTGTGATATTACAAGAACATTTACAAATACCATTTTGCCCAGGAGGTTTGCTCTGATCCCAACTGCTGATTGGTTTCAAAATACCAAGCTACCACCTCCTTTTCAGAGAGAACATTAAATCAATCACCTTCTCCATTGCTCTCTTTCATTATTGTTCAAATATCTTCTCACCCAGCTTTTTCAACAGCACTAAACCCTAAAGACGCTGATTGATTTTCTCACATCAGAAATCAAGTATAAAATTTAGATGTTGAGAGAAATTTTACATAAACAGCAACCCAGAAAATACTAATAAATCCTTCGAGTATGCACACACAACAGATGAGAAAACCTCATGCACTTTTTCCTCCTAGTTTACCTCAAGTGTAAAGTTTGTCAACTTATTTGTTCAAATCAAACCAGTATTTTCTGTTATTTAAAATTACACTTTATATGTAAACAGTTAAAAACCTGAAGAAAAAGAGTTTAAGAGTTTAACTGATACTAAATTGAACTGCATTCTTTCTGTGGAGCCAGCCTCACACACTCTCAAAACACGTGTGAATCGTGCATTTATCACCTACCTTTGAGGCAGTTTTCCCTAGTGGTAGCGAATTAAAAAAAAATTCGTTTAGATCCCAGGTCCTCCAACCACAAAGAAGCTGTGCACAAACGTATTTCTTACCTCATTGTATCTGTTGCTAGGAATTTTGATGCTGGTTTTTCTGACTTCCATATCAACCACTAAACCTTGGACCACAGGCAGCGTGTACTGGTAATTTCTGAAGTCCTGGTAATTAAAACAAGTTTTTAAAAGTTAGGCATGATGATCATCATTAACACTGTAGGTTTCACAACTATCCTAGTGACTACTAGTTAGCCCATTCAAATAATTGTAATCAGTGACTGAAAGGCAGGGAGGGAGGGAGACATCACAGCTTGTAACCTACATAATCAAAGTACACAAATGAAAAAACATCATCACGACTGTTAGCCATTTCACTGATTTTCTTACATCAAAATTAATATTCTCCAGCTTCGAATGTCATCCCTGTATGTAAGAAAAATTGCTCTCTGGGTTCTGTTACATTACTGGATAGAGTTGTTACTTTTTCTAGCAGTGAGATTAAGTCATGCATCAAAGAGAATTTTCTATATTGAAAATATTAGCAAAGTAGAAAGAGCTAATAACTTCAGCTGAAGCGCTGTATAATCAGAGAGCTGTGACTGCACACTGTGATGACCTAGCACTTCTGAGGAAGGAATCTGAGCAGCTAATGCACTTGTTTCAAGATCCAAGCATTCTCAGGTGGCCTGGTTTTGGATGTCAATTTGGGTACCTTTTTACAATTCACTATGTTGTTGAAAGCTAACATCCAGTATCAGTAACAGCAGGTAAATTCACCCAAATGCCCACTATTTCCTCTTGGCATCTTCTAAACATGCCGGCTACTATGTGCAACAGGAGTACAGTTCTCCCCACATTTATCCATTCACACCGATGGAACATGCAAACTCAGTCTCAGCACTTACTGCAAGAAGGTTCATAATGGTGTGTCCAGTCTCTCCAAACAAAGGCTTACGAAATCTGACACTAAAAAGTGGACATGGATAAACTAGGATAAAACAGAAAAGGTCAGATTGAAATTTACACGCTGAGATTCTGCAAAACCAGACTCAAATACAATCTCCTCAGTTGAATATGGTAAGCAGCAGCAAATGAAGAGACTGGAAGGAAGACCAGAGTTCAAAGAGCAAAAGGGAAGAAGGGTTTAACATTATAATGCACCTTACACATGTGTCATGGCTCCTTGCCCACCATGCTAGAAACAGTAAGAATTATGTGGAATGCTTACAAGTGCCACACTGCAGTACGGAACCCTAGCGATCTGGACACTGATTGCAAAGATGACCTTTCTAAATCCTTTTCTCAGGCTACTTCTTGGAAATGTCTTCTTCCCTTTTTATGACCATCCTGCTGCTCTCCACTATAGCATCATAAGCGTTTAGCTTCTGCAGCTGATATGTGTGACATTCAAGTGATAATACAGATTTTTTCATTTTCTGTTTTCATGATTTCATAAAAAAGCATGGCACATTCTCTACAGGAGTATGTCAAAAGCAATTAAAAGGACATTTACTGTATGTCAGCAATACAAAATATCTGCATTCCTTGGCTGACTGAGCCATACTTGTAAAACATCTATGATGCAATTCAAAGTGTATTGTGTGGATCTGGCTACATTACATTATGTTGCAGCAGAAGCCATAGCAATGCTTGAAACATGACTCAAGCAGTAAAATGTAATGTCAAGGTTTTCTAAATGCATCTTGGAAGGAAGGTTCCTAAACTATCCTCAGGCAAACACTCAGCCCGATTTCCCAAAATGCCACACATCTTCACAGTTCCCAGTGTAGCCAGAAGGGGCTGCAAAATGCTCAGCAGGTTTGAATAACATCATCAGGATTTCCTCGTAGAAATAAACCACAGCTTCTGCACACTGATGCAATATCTGGAAAGCATCACAGCTCCTACATGCGCACCATACAGCTGACCAACTCATGAACCGTGCCCTGAGGCACCAAGAAGTGTTGAATTTCGCAAGTCTGCTGCCCTGGCTGCAAACAGCAGCTCAGCTATGTCCTAGATGCACTGAATTCCCTCTGCTTGAGCTGTACAGTTGTTCTGCAGATGCTCTGGACATCTAGCAACCCAGAGCGACTCCTGCATCTGATCTGCTGCGCACTCAGCAGCACTGGACAAATGCCCAAAATCTGACAATTCCACCAGAAAAGAGGATATATCCAAGGAAATCTATGACACAAATGCAGCCCCTTCCAAGAGGGGACTGAGGAAGTACTCTGCAGTCGCAGCTGTCAGAGCACAAGTGAATATGCCTAAATCCAAACCACAGCTATACAAGTGATTCAAACCCCAGCTTCCCAGCATACTCTGAGCAGGTACTTCTGTCCGTGAATATCAAAACATTTGTTTCTGTGCTCAGAAACAGATGTCACATACAAAATATGAGCATCTTTGTTTTTCTAAATGATGAGAATTGATACACTACTTAAAAACCTCATAGATACCCACAAAAACTTACACACCTTTAATAATAATGTTTCTTCGGACAAGTTTAACCTGCAGTCCTCATCCTCAGAAAGCAAATTTTGAAGACCTTCTTTTTCCTCTCCAGTAACATAGGTATTTTATGAAAAATTCCCAATGTTCCCTAAACATCACAAGTTAAATTTACAAATCCCTATAAAGCACATTCTAAAACTTACTTTGCTAAAAAGTTTTGAAAAAATTTTGCGAAAAAATTAACAACAGACCATTTTCATAGTAATTCAGACTTACCAATTTGCCAGTTAAACCAGCAGATGAGCAAGACAGAAAATTTTTGGCCCATGATGGTGGACAGACTTCCGGTAATCTCTTTGCTGCAGTAATGACAAGTGTCTTTTGAAACAGATTTTATCCTAACTTTATACTAATTTCACGCTAACTGTTAAGATTTTGTTCAGCTGAAACACCCTCTCCAGCTTATTTGTTACTAGTTGCGACAGAATTTTTGCAACAAATTGCCACGCCAGTTGCCCCTGCAAACGTATTGTTATTCTCTGGAAAATGAGTCTGGTTTTAAAAATCTAAAAGCAAATGCTCTTTCCTTTCAGCATGGAAAGAGTTTAACATCTGAAAGGCTCTTCCTTGTCCTAACTATATCAGCTAAATCAGACTTGTTCTGGACATAACTCTATTTCAGGTCACCAAGTGAACTACAAACAGCTGCTCAGAACTAGATTTGTCTCCAGAAAAATTTCCCTGATCTACTAGTACAGTTCTAAAAAGGTTGCAGGTCACATCACAACCTCAGTACTGCTGTGCTGTTAGGTGGATGCAACGTAGGTATAAAACATAATTTTTACCTGCTTGTTTGAGCTTGTGTGGCTTTGACCTGTAATGATTGAGGGCTGGGGGTGTGTGCTCTAAACCAGAATATATTCTCTGGCAGAAATAATTGCAGCTAAAAGAATGCACGTTACTTACGTCTGTATTCAGCTCCAAGTCTTAACATCAGCCGAATGGGGAACACTTTAGCCCAAGGAGTCTCCCATTTCTGAATGAGGATGCCAAACAAGTATGGTGGGGTTGGCAGCACCAGGTCTTGCAGGGACTGATACGTAGCTGCAACGTACAAGAACCCTCCATGTTCTTTGCTTCCAAGGAAGCTCTGGCTGAAAAAGGAGTGTCCCAGGTTGCCAACAACGTTACCTATGAACAAAAAAGCACTCATTACTTTACTAGATTGAGAGCTATACCGAAAATTTATAGAGTTTTTCAGAAGGGAAAAAAAACTCACTTTGCTTTCTGAAGCACTAATGTCTATTAATCACACAAGAAACAATGATTTGCTGCACACGGGGCTCAGGTTACCTCCTGGGCAAAAGTGCGTAATCTGTTATGGTAGCTGTAGGCTAGAGCCACCAAAGCCATGGTATCTCCGGTTGATCCACCTTTGGTGATATGTGAACTCAGTGACTATCACTGGTAGGAAGTCAGTTTTGTAGGAACATGCACGCATACCTTCACTTCTGCACCTGACTAAGCCATGCCTTTAAGTGGTACCAGGACAGTATGTACAACCACAGACCCACCACCTCTCCTAGGGGAGCAGGGAGGGAGACAAGCCTCAACCATTTCTGTGATCTGCCTGTTTCATGGAGATCTGCCTGTTTCAAGCAGTAGAGGCAGTGTAATGGAGGGGATGGTGCAGCCCGGGGATAGCCAGAGAAGATGAAGGATAGCTCAGGCCAGTATTGCTCCTAAGGAAGTGGTACCTGCAACCTCCCCCTAGCACTACAAAAGCACCCAAAGAAAGACTGTTTTCAGTGTCTTCCAGACATTCAAGGTGTTTCCACTGCAGAAGCTGCTGTTGACTGAACTAAACTTTTAGACCCAGCTCCAATTAAAGGAGAGATGTGCACATGGTCAAACAATTAATGCCCACTGGTTGTCCTTCCATTTAGGCAAATCACTGGGATGCCGGCTCAGACACATATTGAAGATCTGGGTCTTTTTAAGAATTACACAAAAGAGTGTTTATTTAATTAGTATACTCAATATAAAATGCAACTGAGAGAGACACAGGGGAGAAACATCACTAATTTTTACTCACACTTTTATTCTTTGATGCTCTTAATTTCCCAAAATGTTTACACTGGAATGGCTGAATGAATCTGAATGTTGATTAGATCATTATAGCATCCAACACAGCATTTAACATTGAAGCAAAGAACCATGGTGTGATTCCTTTTATCAAATGACAACAACAGCATGCAAATAATGTACAGCACAGCTGATCACAATTCTCCATAGGAAGATGTGAATATTAATAGCGCTGACTTGCTCTCAAAGAAAAGCACAAGTAATTTCAGAGAGCACAGTGTGGTTGATCACACCACTCATGAGGAATCGCATGGGTTTGAGGCACTCATGCAGGTCTCCTGGGCTTCTGCAGTAATCCCAGGCTTTCCCACCTGCAGACAGAGAGACTGCTAAGTAGGAGTTTCTGCTCTTTCTCCATCATCTCATAATGGAGTGTTTGTATTTGAACTCAAGGCAGTGATGTGCATGTCTCCAACACACACAGCAACTGGACACTAACTGGAAGGTTACTCCCTTTTACACACAGGACACAGACAGACACACACAAACACTAGTTTTTAAGTAAGTAAAAGCATGAGTCACAGAAGTGCAACTTTGACATCCTCAGTCATACAAGTATGAGCTTCAAGTTAAGCCTTCTCTATTTTTATACTGCAAACCAGCCCAAAAATTATACACAAGCATTTACAAATGCAAGAAAAATAAATTCAGTAGGTACAGATTTGGCCGGCAAAGGAAAGGTTAACCAATGAGTCCTTTCAAGTCTGTCCTTTACACTGAACCCCTGTGACAGTCCCAAGTCACAGCAACTCTCCATGAAGCCAGTGCCAGCATGAGAATAATACAGCTATTCCTGCCCCTCACTCTGGAGATGTGGCCATGCAACTTTGCATCTCTCCAGACCACCTTGGCACAATCACCATGAAGCGTTGCTTCCTTCACATGACCTTGGGACCTCCAGCTTTAAATATAGCTACTGATAGGTCTGTAAACAAAAGGCTCTGTTTAAACTCCGACTAACAAATAAGTTCAAGGGTTTCCTTGCTATTCAAATTTGTGGGCACCTCAGTGGAGGGTTGGTTTTGGTTTTTTTTTTTTTTGCTGTACCCACAAGGTGCTCCACGAACTAAGCTCTCAAATTCTCTGTTAACGGGCGAGAGGCTTTGGCAGCCCAGGCACCCCATGGCAGGGTGCAGCTTGTTTGTAGTGAAGCTGATTTGTAATTTTACAGATGTGCACAAGCCAGAGCTGAAACCACCAACCTAGATCAAATTCCAGAACTCTTACAGTGGCTACAATTTCTGTAATGCTCAGCTGAGCATACTTAATGAAAAGTAGCTACTGGTCAAACTGCAGGACTAACATGATTAATAGAGCCACATCAAATGTTTTCAGCTCCTGAAAATCATTGATCCTGCCCATGTGCAAATGCATTTCTCTGTCAGCCTGTGCTGTGACACTATTGCCTGCTCAGTGAATACACTGCTAATGCACCAGCTCAGGCATCTTGCTAGTGAGTGCAAACCACTGTATCAATTGGTGTTCATGAAAAAGATTTTCACGCATCTGAAATAGCTGCTGGCACCTTTCTATCTCAACTCCACCCATTTGCTTTTGCAGTTCCCACCCTCACGAATCTCCTCTTCTTCATTTATACTTCCTTTTTCCCTTCCCATCTGTTCTTACCCAAATAGAAGCTAAAGGCCTGATAGTAAAATTATTTGGTGAGGTTCTCAGTTCCAACAACACGACCATAATAATCCTTTCTAACCTTAAGATGTATGAAACGTATGAACCACTAAACTGAATTGAATTCTGCACCCTTTTTGGAAGTATTTTCTGTGTGCAAGAGGCTACGCACAGTGAAACTGTACAATACCGTATAGTTCTGAGACGTGCGGTACTGCCCACTGGGATGACAAAGCAATCAGACATTTCCACTTGCGACTGATGCCAAGTCCTGCAGCAGAAGGGGACAACTGCTTATTTTTTCCGTTGCAGGAGATGGAACTTCAAGGCTCCCACACTTGAGATGCCTTAACAAGAATTTTTTCAGCCAACAGAAACATGAAAAAAACCCTCAGAGTGGAATCTGCAATTCAGCTGTTCAGCACTTTGCTACCATAAGCCACAGCATTATAAATTACTCCTTTTGAAACAAGCAGCTTGCACAGTGCAAGCTCCAATAGCTTACCACTATTAAGAGGACAAATTATTGGGATTAGGCAGTTGTGCTGCAATTCATTATTTATAAGAGCATGCAAGAGCCTGCTATGTGGAAAGCATGGGAAGAATCAAGCAAGAGTTTTCCTACACACCTCCCTAGTGCCCTTTTCAACCAGCAAACCCAAGTCAAAAAAGCCTCTTTGGGCTTGTCCCAATAACATTTCTGCACTGACCAGGGGTTGTCAGCCTTTCCTGCCATGTCTTTGAAGGTGCTTCCAAGTCAAGGCTCCACTGATAAGTTGCTATTACCAGCTTGACACGGTCAAACCCAACCCACTGCACCGTTACACATTTTAAGCATAGAACTGTGTTTCAGAAGCTTGTAGAGAAAGTGTAGCTGTCAGAAAAACCCTCAAAAAAAGCTATCCTTCTCAAAAGCATGTAATTTAATTCAGAAAATACCACAACTTCCTTTCTAAAGAGGTAATCTCAGAGTGAACAGAACGGTGCCTTTCCTTACATCAGGTTCCAGCACCTGACATCAGATAATTGACATTATTTAGGAAGTGCCTTAAGTGTGCATCATGTATCTAAAGCAGCTCCGCAGGAGGTCAGTACTTATTCTCTTCTCAATTATGCTGGGTTACCCTTGACTTTAAATCCCAAGCAGCTTTATAAAGTCCTTTAAAAAAACATGCTTTTATCCATTACTTTCTCTTCAGTCATGATCCATGCTGGTTTGAATCCTTCACTTAGGTATCTTCCTCTGATGAACAACGTACTTTGCATATCAGCTTGGCAATACCTTCTGGACTCAAATAAAATAGTTTATACCAGGAAAGGTAAAGAAAGAAAGATTCCTGCATTTGTTTATTGCCCTCAATATGTGGTAAAGCCAGTCAGGTGCTTTTACTAAAACCAGCGAGGATAAATTCCCAATGTATACTTCCTATCTTTTGGTTAATTCCAGGTCAAAACACTGGTATTAGCATCCAGTCTCAGGGAAGGCATACATATGTGGCTTGTGTCCAGCCTCATTCCACTGTCATCAGTAACAACCAAGAACCGCCAAGCACCAAACACCATGCCAGCATCCTGAAAACCCAAGCATCCCAGTTCCGTAGCAAGGGATGCAAAGCAGTAGTTACTTGGGAACAATCTTGCCAGATGGATTTTCTTCGAGAGCAAATGAGCACATGCTTTTTGGAAAAACAATACAAACCCAGTCACTACCACACCAAGAGCCACAGAGCCACTAAGAGACACAGAAGAGACAAGACCATGAAGGTAACTTGATGGCACAATACATCTGTAGCAGATGCCCACATCGAGAAAAAACAACACGAAATCCAACATTCAAAGTTCTGACCAAACTGAGCATCTTTTTATTGAAACACACCAGCAAGTAATTTGGAAAGAACTCACTCATATTGGAAAGGGGCGTAATACTTCACTTACTATCACTGTGAGTAGTGGTTACCAGCATCCAAGACTTCCTCAGACTAGTCTGTGGCAGTCTTCCAAACAATCACTCTCACACCTTGTATGATGTTTGATTTTGTGTTCATCTTTCCACATTACACTTGCAGGGGTGTATTATTCACTCAATTAACATATCCTCTGTTCAGAACATCTACATGGGCTTCTTTACAGATCTACTCTGTATTAGCTACTACCTTATTTAATTAAAACCAGGCGGAGTTAAAAATACACAAAACTGACTGGAATGGATCCACCCTCACCCAGAATATGCCTCAAACCAGGGCAGTCACAAAGCTCTTTCAAGCAGTTGCCAGATTTGCATTTTCACTACAAAATAACAGTAGCATTTATTGTGTTCCACCAAAGAGTTGATGTACTAGGGCATATCTGGCAGCTCTATATTAACACACCCAACTGCTTCAAAGTACCCATTCAGACGGACAGAAGTTCTCATTTTTCCATTCACTAGACCTCCTGCCAGGCTTATAGCCAACAGACAAGGATAATCATGGGATTACTACTACAACAGTACAACTACTACAACCACAACAGAAATCATTAGCTTTCAATTTCAAAACAAGAAAAGCAACACAGCAGGGAGCTTGATGACAGAGGGGCCAGAGGAAAAATAAAGTGATGGAAACTGAACAGTAATTAATACTTGCCTTAATTAACAATTTTACAATTTACTGTAACTCACATGCAAGCAACCTATAGTGAAAACTGTCATTTCTCCTTCAAAATCTCTCCATTGTTTCACAATTATAAAGTCCTCACACCAGACCATAGCTTGAGGTTGACGACTTTCCATAAGAAAATTAATGAAGGATCATGCAATGCTGCACCAGACTGACATCTTATCCATGCTGAAATAGGAGATGAATCTGACAAACTGCAAAGCACTGAGTGTACAAAGAGCTCCTGCCTGCAGGTCTGAGGCCCCGGGCTCTGCTGGCACTACTTGCACATGCTAGAACCATACTCTGCAAACGGCTGAGAGCAATAGCTAGCACAGAGGACAGGACTCTGCCTCAAGAAACAAGTTATCCCGTGAGGAAAGCAGAAACATCTGGTAATAGGTACATGTAAGTTTGTACTTCTAAGCTTGAATGCAGAACTAAAACTTGAGCAAGAGCTAGTAAATGAATGTGACTCATGAAAATAAAAATCGCTATAGATATGGTCTTTAATTAAATAAACAAAAGGGCAATGCTGTATTTTTCAGCTGAAAACAAAAATAAGAAACCCAAAAATCACTCCCCCCCCCCCCCCCAAAAATCAACATCACTAAGCATAATTCTTGTTTCCACTTCAGTAAAAAATACTGTATGTCGTTTTGGTTTATGACTGTTTTTAAGGAAGCATTTACTAAAGGAGATAAATAAAACACATCCACAGAATTTATTTCAGCTTCCTGATGACAAATAAATTTAAACCAATTATTATATAACAAAAAAATGAAACTGTGAGGCAGGGTTTTAAATAGCCTCTAACTTCTAATGAGAATTCTCATTTACTCTAAGTGTCTATCATCTAATCACCAGGAGAGGTGCAGTACCTCTGAAATGAACAACTTCAGAAGTGTAACTCCATCTTACAACAGCATGCAAACTGCTAACCACTTCCAAGGGATTACAACCACCAAACTAAAATCCCTAGAGCATCATATCCTGCTTCTCTGGCTGAATAACGTTTAAAACAGCCAGAATTGCAAATATGCTAATATATACTTCTCCCTCTCAAACATGCATGAGTTGGAAAGAAAAAAGGATGGATATTGAGAGAGTGCATTACAGAATGCTATGCTCTACAAAAACTTCAGTGTGGTTTAGTGTTATGTAGCAACTCAAGTTGTCTATCTGCTTCTCATACCTGTCTGAAATAAAACACGGAGCAAATCCTACTAAAAGAACATTACACAGTGGAATTCTTAAACAGTAAAATTTGGTTTCTGACTAAGAAATTTACAATAGCAAGCAGCTCTTTGCACCAGTGCAATTGTAGGATATCAAATTACTACCACTAGAGCACTAAAAAAAGAATTCCAAATACATTATGTAGGAGTTATAAATTATGTATTTCTGTAGTGTAATTACATAGAACTTCATTGCAATATACACACCAGGCTGGATTTAAATCTGCAATATATATATATATATACACACACACACACGCATGCACACGATTTTTCATAGCTATCTCCCTCTGAATAACATCATAATTAGAAGATAATGCATTGCAAATCAAGTGAGGTTTGGAAAGGTATTTGTTTCCAGTGTACATGAGATCAATTATGACATGTGATAATAGTACATTCTGAACCTGGCAACCTCTCTGGACAAGCTGACCTTTGTTGTTTCAAGAGACTTTAGGAAACAAAGATATTTTTCATTATTTTATTAAAGTGCTGGATTCAGTCACTCCAAAGGCATTGCAAATTATATGCAGAACCCCTTGTAAATGTATTTTCAGTATATAACCTTAATGTGATCCATTTCACCTCTGAACAACTAGGTTTATTTTTTAATCAGTGGAACCAAACACTTGCATTTTTCCTTATGCAATAATTTTTGAATTCTAAGGTCCAACAATAGCTAAAAGTGGATGCCCATTTATTTCGTAAATGTAAAATGTGTAAAGGCTTACATAATACAATCTTCCAACTGAGATACTAAAAATAAAAATTCAGGGATAATTTCTGCAATGCCCTACAACTCACTCCAGGCATAAATATACATATATATTTGTATTACTTTATAATATAAATAGTTCTACATAATTTAGCAATAGACATACACACTGTCGAAATTAAATTTCTGAACTACCTGGTTTGGGGATATTTAACATACTGTCCAGAAGGATTCTGAAAATTTGCTTTCTGTACCTTTAAAAAAGCTACCCTGACTTCAAGCTGAAAAAAAAAAATAATTATTAGAAGCAATGTCATTAGTGTACCCATGAACCCTACTACACTTACAGCTAAATGAAGTACAGTACTAATGTCAGATATGTTAGCCGTATTCAAATTCTTACCCCAACACCTAGCAGAAGCAGCCAGAGCAGACAGTCAGCAATGGCTGCTGAACACAAAGTTGTCACAGGCAGTCTTCCTGCTCCATTGCTGTAATAGTCTATGCATGGCCTTTATAGCCCAAACTTCTTTGTTCTGCTGGCACCCAGAGGAAAGCTAGAAGATCTTTGGAACAGCTCTCCAGGTTACCAGCACCTCATTAATACTTTTATTTGGTGAGAGAACACTGGATACTAATAACCAATAACAATCAGCCCCTATCAGCTTTGATCCTTTTCAGGCAAAAATAGCCATTTGCAAAATGATGATAATGTGAGTATCTGACCCAGTACCATCATCTATCCAAACCATTTTTAACAAAAAGCATTCCTACCTGCTAAGGCATCCCGGTAAAGTTGCACAAAATGGTTAAAGATATCCTTAGGCAAACATTTCTCATCAGGCAAACACTGCAAGAGAATGACTATCTCTGACTGCCCCACTGCATGCATGCCTTTTGTAGTGAAACACCAGCACTTCCTGTTCACATCTGCAGAGAGGAAAACATGTATCAGAACAGAAGATCAAAAATTCATAAAATATGCCTAAAATTCACTACAGGAAGATAGCTCTTTCAAGAATCAGTTTTACAGCCTGTTTTGTGATATCGGTCACAGAGACAAATTAGGTTCTAAACCTGTTCCCTTGCAAGCATGCACATCCAAAACAAAAGCAGGTCAAGAATTCCCAGTTTACAGCTAAAGAAGAGCCAGAGCATTATAGCTCCCAGTCAGATCTTGGGATTAACACCACAGAGCAGAGTTTCAGCAGTTTCTGTATCCAAATTAAAGGACAGGATTTAAATGGGAATGAAGGAACCTGGGAAAAGGCCAAGCTGCTGGCTGTGCGTATCACGATCCCGACAGCTAAACCAGTGTCAGGCAGTGGTATCTCTCTCTTAAGATGGATAGCTGGATGTCAGATGTTTTCATGAGATGTCACTGTGTTGTTCTACTTCACATGAATGTTAGTGATGACACATGCTCTAAGCTTCACAGTTCATTTGTTGGGAATAATAAGTTATTGAAATAAAATATTTCATCTAATATGTATATAGATATGCATATTAAGGACATTTTTATATATATGTAAAAAATTGTACTGCCATCTAACCAGATGCTGAAAGGTTTATAAACAACGTCTTAGTTTATTGTATGAACTTTTCACAGAACCAAAACAATTTTATTGCAAAACTGTCCTTCTCAAATTCTCAAGTAATGTTTTCTTTTCCAGCAGAGATCAACTGAGGTACTAACATGAGAAGCCACCTATACGCCTCCCTCCCTCAGCACATGTACACGCACACATGCACAGTATAGAAGAGGTGCACAGTGGAATGGAACCTGCTTATTACTTGGGATCCTACCTGCTTTTTCCAGAATGTGATGACAAGAAAATGAATTAAGCAACCAAAAGAAGAACAAGTGAGAAAATACCTTGCCCTACCAAGTTGGATAGGAGACACTGATCCCCAAACTTGAGACTGGAGGCTCTATCAGTCTAGTTTATATCTTCTACACAAAATTATCTGTATTGATGACTAAATCACCGGAAAAGTGCCTCTTGTAATTTAACTTAATATGGCTAAGTACAAAGTTCTCAACCTATGCATATTTTCAGAGACTATTCTACCAAATAAAAACGCTGCTGTTCCTACTAGTAGTATATATAACACCTCCCCTCTCATACTGAAAGTCTTATTTAGTAATAAAAACTTACAATTTACTATTTTTACCATGGACAGCAAATTAGCATTTAAAACAAACACAAGAGGGTCAGGGCCACCATCCTCCAGCTGCTGCATGACAGAGATCTGAGAAGGTCTCTCTTCTACAGCATAGTCTATGAGAGAAACAAATAAACACACAGTGAAGTCCTTAACTTACTGGTACAGTACCCTATATTATAATCAGATAATCCTGATTCTCATGCTTTTTGCTTTTTTGACCTTTTAAAAAAAAAAACTTATTTAAGTATTGGTCATTTGATTGATTGTTTCCTAGGATGGTATTTTCAAACTTCAATAGCATTTATGTGCATAACCCCCTGTACATCCTTTACAAAAGTGCAGCCTGTTTCATAAATCAACTTTTTTTCAGTATCAACTGGAAGAGAAAATTGAAATCAAATTGAGTCATGGCGTCAACTGAAATCCCAAATGAGAAAGAAGTTAACAACTGTTAACAATATCACAGTAAAGCACGAGAGCATCAGTCCTGGACTACAAACACCAATGCATGGTCTATCCGTATGTCACGCAACTTACACTGTGCATTAGCTACAAGGAAGATAACAAAGAGGGGAATGCTATATAAACCAACATTTTTTTATAAATCATAGAAGGTCTAAATTCAGTGTAAAATGGATTCCAACACGAAACTTCAAAGATGTCTGTAGTGTCTCTCTATGATTAGACCCAGATGACTAGCAAATTAAAATTTTTCATCCATGTGATTATATTCTACCCTGCATTTAAGCTTTAACAAAAAATAGTTATACTGATGAAAACAGATTTGGAAAGAAATGTATTACCTTTCCAGCTAAAATTATCTAGAAAGAAAGGTAATTTTGCTTTCTAATGTGAAAAATGTTTTTGGAATCTTTTAAAATAGAATTAGAATATCAGAAGTAAAATGCCACGAAGAAAATCCAGTATGTGACAGCATATGAAACAACATCAACTTAGCATACAAAATACGACTTACATGAGGCTATCTATATAAAAGCTCAAAAAGTATACTCTAGTTTCACTCCTTTTTTCTGGAGGAGACTGAATAATTAGGCACCCATACGAACAGTTAACACAGGATGGAACAGATTTGTTTTGAAATTAAATGCTGCTCACATTTGGGTTTTGACACTATCATGCAGTAAAAGGTTACTTCCAACTTAACATTAGAAATGCACTGTATCAGCAAAATATTTAATAGGAATAAAAAAAAAAATCAAAGATGAAAAAATAAGTTAATCCCAGGAACGTATTAAAGGATGTAATGAATCAGACTGTGGAGAGCAACTGTTAGATAAACAAATTGTTGTCAAGCATTGGAACAGGCTGCCCAGGGAAGTGGTCGAGTCCCCATCCCTTGAGGTATTTAAAAGACGGGTAGACGAGGTGCTTAGGGGCATGGTTTAGTGGTAGAATGGCAGTGTTAGGTTAACGGTTGGACTTCATGATCTTAAAAGGTCTTTTCCAACCTAAACGATTCTATGATTCTAAATACGTACATTTTTTAATCTTTTAAAAATTAGTTTTTAATTTTCTGAATCCTCCTCCATTTGGATACTCTGGAAGGGGACATCACAATTACTAAAAGCTTCACTGTGGGCCACTGTGCAATAGTGCTGTTGAATGCAGTGCTCAGGGATGCCTCAGACAGAGCGGATGTTCCAAGAGAATTTCAGAGAAGGGAAACATGAATATTCATAAGGCTAATTAAAATGTATCTCTGTGTGAAGCATTCCCCACAGTCCGATTAGCAAAGAAATTAGCACATATTTCTGGACTGAAGTTAATTTTCTTTTTGCTTTGTATTTTACTTCTTACAGTAATTTCCTTGCAAGATTTGGTTCTTCCTGGATGCTAATAAGGATCAATGGTGCAAATCTGTGTCGCAATATTTAGCCATGAGTACCTACTGTGAGTTTCTTGAAACATTCAGCATATTGCCAGCATCTTATTTTTAAAATAAACACTGTAACTATTAGGTTAATTGCAACTGGTAAGCATAAAAGCTAGCTGCCAAATTATACTCTCACCTCCTTTTACTCCAGTGGAGATGAGAATTGGAGGAAGACCATCTTCAGGAATTAGATTCATTGCACTGCCAACAGGACTGCCAACCTGAGTTATATTTCCCGAGAATACAGAAGCATTATCAGTCTACAAGAAGCAAACAACAAGAAAGGACAACATTACAAAAGTAATAATTATAAAAATTTAAGAGGTGGCTGACTAGATTACTAGATGTAGGTAAAGGTGTCTGCTGGTGAACCAGAAGCACCAGGTAATTTGGCTCTTTAATTACAGATGATCACGTGACGACTTCTGTATGTGAACTATTACTGAAAGCCCCACTTAGACAGACACTGCATCTCCCTTCTCTAGCACCACACATACCCATTTCTTTACAAAATCTAAATGTATCTATGCCCATCTGAATTTTTTGCAAAGTCTCAATTCCACTCACATAGGGTATGGTTGATTTAACATTGTTAAATTATATCTGCACTTTCCTGCACACATCATTTTGTGAAAAGTGTCAAAGTAGTTTTCTTCTTTGTGCTATGCAAATCTTATTGTTTCAAACTCCTTACTGACCATGACTCTGCTTTTTTAAAACATGCATTACACAAATATCCTTCATACACAGGCTGTACAGCCAAACACTTGGAAGCCAGCTAGCACACAGACTTCAAACATTGCTTAGTGCTCTGCCCCATAATAGTTCATTTCAGTTCAAAATATATAGTTGTTTCAGCACTCTGCAAACATTAAAATAAGTGAGGACACTTGCTATACAACATACTGAGACAAGCCTCAACAGATTTCCTAGATCAGTCTTACTGAAATCACCATAGAAGCTAATATACTACTCAAGACCAAAGCAAGCATGGTATTTTGAGCAGTGAATAGTGTAACGCTTCCTTACTTCTGCTGATAAAGTGTTGTTGGTCACAGGCTTTGATGGATCATGCGAGACTGCTAAGGTTCCTGTGGAAGTTGTCCCAGCCACTGTCAGTTTTGCTGCATCGGCAACTTCTCCATTGGGTAATATCCCATCAGCAAACCAAACACGCCTTTGTTCTCTAGGTTGAGCCACTAGAGAGAACATAAAAAATAGGATTTAAGATTGCAACACTGCAAGACAGCAACATTGACTGGAAAATTTGACTACAGAAGAGCAAAACTGAAAAAAACAATTAATAGAGAAGTGTGGACTGGAAGGGACTTAGGACATCATCTAGTGCATTTCCTATGGCAGCAACATGTATAAATGCATCTGCTGAGAATAGTTTACTTGTCCTTAAACACCTGATGTCCATACTGAGGGCAGGAATATCACAACTGGCATTAGCTAGAGTATTTGGAATGGATGAAGTGCAGATACTCTTCCCAAATTCTTCCACAGGTAAACTGAAAGAAAAAAGAAATACTCTCACCTTCTGCTCCAGGATGCTTTAAAACTCCCACAGGTACCATGACAGTGGGAGGCGGAGAGCTCAGGGCGCCCGAGGCCTGAGCCTGCTGCAAAGGAGGGATAGTAGAACAGTATTCAGCGGGATTGTTAGGGTTAGGACTCTGGCTTGAGGCACTCATCATGTTCTCCCAGGCTTGAGCTAAAGCAAACAAAGAACAAGAAACGTGAACACAAAGAAAGGTATCTAACAGTCCAAAACACTGTGTTAAGTTCTCAACTACAGTAGGTGTGGACCCTGCCACCTTCCAAAGACCATCTCTCTTCCTGTATTTAAAAGCCCAGGAGACTGTAATTAAGCAAGAAAATCTATAGCAGGAGGAGAAACAGCACTGGTTATGTGCAGTAAAAATATCAGTTCATATAGAAATATTTTCTGAAAATTATAACAATATACTTTAACCTGAATGATGCTTAGTTCCTCATGCTTCATTTTGTTTCCTCTTCAAAGATTTAACTGAAAACACTCAATTCTTTTATATATATATGTATATTTATCACACTGTATGGACAGACGGACATTCCTATTACTAATGCTTTATAACCTACAGGACACTTAAGCAGATTTGTCTTCTGTATATGAGAAAAAGCACTTTGCATTTCTTGATATCCAGGGCAGATCAGTACAGATCAACAACTTACATTCTTAACTATAAAAAACCCTTATGCTATTAATTCTGAAGGCATGACTTGAACCTTAATTCAATTGCCCAAACAATAACATATAAAACTTCTTTGTCAACAACATCCATCACAGGTAAATCTCTCCTCTAGCTAGTGAAATAGACTGTATGTCCACAGTACTACTTTTTTTTCATTTGTAAGGAAGGCTTGTAGCTATGCGGGGTACCAGAAAATCCATGTGTACGCTTGCACCTTCCACCATATTAGTATGTTACAAATAAATGCATTCCTCTGGTCAGGCATAGATAAAACACCACCTAAGCCCTCAGAGCAGCCATAAAGGCTGAACAAATCATGTACATCTTTGGGTTCATTTGGCTACGAATTGTCAGAAAACCAAGGTGAAAATAACAAGACCAAAAAAACCCAAACAGAACATAAACCTCTCTTGCTTCCTCCCATCAACCTGCAAAACCCACAGAATGAAATGACTGCCAATGGAAAAGGTACTGACATTTCCATTTGAGAAGATTAATTAAATGGAATTATTTTTTTAACAGCAATTCTGTATTCATTTAGAACACAGGATCTGAAAGAAGGAAGTGTTAAAAAAGCACAAAGAAAAGTTACATCTCTAGGATCCCTTTATTAGAAAAGTCATAGCATGGTAAAAGAAAATTTTTTAAGCCTTCTCTAAATCAAGCAAAGTGCCAACTCAGCATATCTACCAATTGAAAATACAGTAAAAATAGCATTGGAAACTTATTAAACACATAGTCCGGCCACGGAAAAGTGCCAGAACACATACAACCCTTCCCCCGCACCCCAGTGAAACGCAAACCAGATACCTAACAACCAAACTAAATAACTACTTTTAAAGTGCAATTCCTACCCCCGATTCCAAGATTGTGCAAAGATTAATGCTTAACCTGCTGCACTGAGTGGAAAAAATCCCCAAAACCTTTACCAACAAAGAAACTGCAAGGATCAGGAGGGATCAGATATGATCAGGATAGAGGCTACCTAAGCAGTAACCAAAAGCACCATCACAAAGCACTGTGCAGGGATAGAAAGGAGAGGTAGCCTGGGGCAAGTACACCTAACTATGCAGGCAGCAGTCTCCCTATAATGAGCCAAGCAGTGGTGTCACTGTTCGCTGCCATTAAGGTGTATCCATCCTGGCAACAGGACAGAAAGGCTTTTAAAAGGAAATCATTATAACATGATCAATTTTATTATGCCTTTTTACAAGAACACTTCTGGTTTCAACTGAAATATTTTGAGATTCTTCCCTTCCCCCAGATGAAAGCAAATCCTACTCACCACCAAAAGAAGCCAGCTGTCTTTTGCCAGGTGTATGTGTAATTCCTTGTTCTTGTACACCTTGAAATGTGCTAATTTCTCCATCTCAAAATGTGACATTTTAGCATCCCTTCAACACCATCATCAGGACTCGGTTTTAATCTCTAGATATTACAACCTACAATTTCCTGTCAACTTACGCATTTGGCCTACAGTAAAGAATTATTAATAATTAAGACCTACCACTGAGTACCGATTAATCTTTAATCTTTTTGAAACAGAAAAAAATTATTCCTCTTTAATGACAGAAACTATCTACTAATTTTGTATGCCTATCTCAAGACTCACTCAGTTACTTTCAACCGAACCTGCATAATACTGAACTTCTTTGGAGAAAAAATAAAGCTATGAGCTTTGAAGTTTAGTTTGATATTCAAGAAATTAACAGATCTTTCTGAAAACAGCAGCTCAAATAATCTACTGTATAGTAACAGGTAAAGATACCACCAAAACTACCTTGTCTGAACACTGACAAACCAGAATTTTCTCCATTTGCAGCAATGGAAATTCTCTGGTAACTGTTAAAAAATTATCAGGATAGTTAATTATCCTAATGGGTAAAAGTTTGCATTTAGAACTTGAATGTTTCTGACTTCTCATTCTACCTACTACATGTTAGAGTGCGCCTGTCAGACATTCCTCTGCAATCAAAGTAACTTCTGTCATCAAGTTTCAGTTATCCAGATATATATTTATACCCCGAGATCAAGTCACCTATTCACCTTTCCATTAATAAACCAGAGTGCCTGGCATTTCTCACAATGAGACAGGTTTTCTCATAATTTAAGCACTCACATGGATCCATTCTCAACCTAATCCAATTTTTCTACCGCCTCAATTCAAGACATAGGAACTGAACATCGAGTCTTTCAGCAACAGCTCTCTCAGTGTCACGGAAGTAAGTCAACTGGACAGCATAACCACCCAAAGGTAACTGCCAGCTCAGGAAGTTCTTGAAATTTTCAGAAGCCTCAAGATACAGCGGGAAGAATGCTCTGTGTTTGCCCATATTTATACCACATATCTAAAGTCTTAATTCTGTAAAGGACAAAATACAAAATAGACTCCATAGCCCTCTGGTCAAAACGAAACACAATCTTTCCCTTCACCAAGCAGAGGTAATAAAACTTCTTGTTTGTTCTACTTGTTAACTTCATAACTACTTGTGACCTCTCTCATATGTCCCATGTTCACATCAGGCTTTTAGCCACAGCACCATCCTGGGTTTGACAGACTCTCCAGTAATGTGCCCAAAGCAATAATCCAAACTCAGCTGTCCACATCTGTGGATAGATTTTTAGACAAGACCTCCTATTCTAGCACCAAGGAGTTAAGTAGGAAAAAGAGTTGGATTGATTTGTGGATAAATACTACTTCTCCAGTTTCTTATAGTGCATAATCTAGAAGAGGCACAACTGCATTACTCTTCTTTTTGGCATCCCATACAAAAGTGTAACAGGTTATCCACTTAGACATCAAAGGACACAGAGTAGGCTCCTGAATTAAAAACAAAAAACCACCCAAAATCACAGTTTCTGCAATCCTGGTATAGCACCCACAAATAAAAGTTTCCAAACTCATCAGAACCTTGCCAGTTTTTGCTTTCTGTAAATCATATTTAGTTTAGTAATCCCCACACTCCATGGGGATCCCACACTGATCTCTGAAGGACCTTTGCTGTTTTAGCATACTTACTCATACAAATAAAGTATTTTGGTTTGGTTTTTTTTTTTAAATATCATCACTGCAGCTCAACACAAAGCTAGTGAAGCACAGCATCTCAGATTCTCTTTCCACTTACCATTCATTAGTACTGAATGGCAGATTACACACACTCTAGCTTCCTTTCGATCCATGTACAGCAACTTGCACTTCAGGCTACAGCATGCTGCACAAAAAACCTGGAACCAAAGGGGAAACAACTTAAGTGTTGTTCAAAAATACATGATGAATTGATGAATTCAGACAAGAGAATATCTGTAAAGCTCTAGACATGCAAAGTAAGAAGGTAAATTATCAGTATTTTCCCATAAAAGCCACCGTGAATAATACCTTTTCTACTAATCCCAATGAAGCAATATTACATGGAACACATAAATGCATGTTGTCCTGATACTGTACAGTGGTGTTTTTAAAATATGTTTGTCATAAATGTCAATGGGTTAATAAATTCTTACCACTTTACAATCCCTCACGGAATTAATGATTTGGGAATTAATCAAAGTCTTAGAAAAAGCATGAGTACTTTCTAGAATCGACTATGTTTAAATGCACAAATTTTCTCTACATAAGAGATTGCTGTGGCACAGATTAATTCAAACAAGTTATTTTTATTTGCAACAGGGCAATTCATCTGTATTAGCAACTCCAGCTTTTTAATCTCTTCATATAGAACAAGCTATTCCTCAGTTGTGACTTCAGTGGATGTATCAAAATGTTTTAAGTGTTCAACATGTAAAATGACATTTAAAAAAGCTGACTGACATTGGTACTGCAAGAAAAATCACTGCTCCATTTATATGTTTTTTAAAAAGCGCTCATATTTACGTGATTACAAACACTACAGCATCACAACACTAGAGAGAAATTACAAAGTGATTTTACACATGCTGACTGCTGAGGGGGTACCTGGTGCAAAATCCCCAGGGGGACAACATGCTGCAGAGATGCAGTTGCATTGCTAGCACTTCTCACCTCAACCAGCTCTAAACAATTCCCCAGTCCTGGGCAGGAACCAGTGTTGAGGCTTCCTCCAGACAAGCAAAACCATAAAACACAGGCACGGCTTGTGCATCAAAACAAACACTTGCATGCAGGTATGATCCTACAATAGCAATTGCAATCTCAAAATCCTGCAGAACAGACAAATCAGGGTGCCCTGATGATTTCTTATTTGTTTTAAAGAATAATATTTTCTTTAGGGTTTTTTTTTTTTTAGTGTTTAAACTAGGGTTTAAAAAAACCCTAGTATTTCCTCAAGGTTATTATTCAGGTGACATGTGAAGACAGTAATGAACACCCATTTCATGTAAAAGGTAGCGTCACACTCAGGAAATCTAGAAACAGCATCAGCTACCTAACAAATGAGTTCAGATACCAAGACTGAATTTCAAATTTTAATTATGGGTGGATACTACATCTACAATTTACTATGCATTATTATGATCCGTAATGCTTTCTTAGTCCAAAAAAATTATTCCATCATCACTTCAACAGCAGTATTTCTATAATATAGACAAGAAACTATATAGGATTCTCATATATAAACATTTGTAAGACTAACTAAATTTCAACAAAGTTAAAAGATCACACCAAATTATGACCACTTCACAGCCTGTTACCTTTGCATTATTTTAGTGACAAGTGTTTAAAATAAGCACATATGAAATAAGCCATGAGAGATGAAAATAGAATGTGAAGAAAGAAGACCTCACCCTGCCTCATTTCAACCGTTTTTAATGTTTCCTAATTATGTCAACTTAAACATTTCAGAAATAAGTGTGTATACACTGGCATTTTCATGCAAAAATAAAAAAACCCTTCCACATATGTGAAGACCTTTTAAAAAAAAAAAACCAAAAAGCAAACGTACTTTAAAAATCTGATTTCTGCATTTACACCTTAACCCAATTTACAAGCATTCTAGGGAATATTAATAACAACATCACAGTATATTTTAGAGACATTTGACATCATTTCAGTTCTCTGGGAGAAACTTCCAGTCAGAAGTTCAGTACTGAACATGGAAAAATCAATGCCTTCAACCATAAATGAAGCACCAACACAAATTAATATATAATTTAGGACCCTTCATCAAACAACACATTGTGCATTCAGCAAAGCTTCCATGTGAAATGACCTAACTATTAAAAGACAAAATAGAAGCAATGACAAAACACCTACACCTCCTCTTTTGGGCTGCATCAGCCTTCTAACAGTAGTAACGCAGAGGAAGAACGCAATCCAGCACAACTGACAATTCAGTCTTGTTATTAACAATCACCAAGTCATTATCTCAGTACATCATGCTATAAAAAAAAAAATAACACAGCAGTGTCAAAGCAAGTTTTTATTTTACTAGGGTTTTCAGGTTCACTGGGAGTTGTTAAAGCATTAGTTGCTGAGGGCTTTGGTGATTTTTTCTATTTTACTGGAAAAATATAGTTTGGGTTGTCAGTAAAAATACGACATACAAATTTTCGTGTTTTCTTATCAAGGATGATTGTTTCATCTGACAACAGAAAATACATAAATACATAGGGTAAAATTTATGAATGTGTTCACACACATTCTCCAAGTTCTTAATTTTAATTCAAAATTTACTGTAAGTATGTTACTTTCTACCACTCCCCTCAGGTTCATATCTTCCATTAATTTTGCAATTTATTATCCTGAAATTAAAAACCAAGACAGACTTCCCAGGTTCCACTCAACTGTTTTTAAATGCAATTTTCATTCCCAAATGAAACAGATACATTCACCCCTACTACAATGATTTGTCATGATGCTAATAAAGCTTAAAAAGAAACTGTTGTGCCAATACTTGCATTCAAAAATATTTAGTCCCATGACTTCCCCAAGAAACAATTAATTGCAAGAGCTGAAGACACTATGTCCCCAATTCTTTAAGCAAGATTCATGCGTTTATCAGAAACACTGGAAGTTGTCACTGTGATTCAGTAGTTATCTACACCACAGGCACATGGACAACATGACTTGCTTTGGGGGTGGTTATCTTAACCAGAATGCAAGAGCAGACCACTGAGAATAGCTGTGTCTCAAGCCACTACAGCTAGATTTGTCCCAGCTTGCTTGTCAAAGCCTTTGGTCTCTTTCCTCCCAGAATCATTGCAGGAACTAAGTGTTGTAAAGCATATTTGCAGTAAGTGCAGACTTATACTGATTCTTAGCATTTATTAAGAAGTGCTTTTTTCAAAAAAAAAAAAAAAAAAAAAAAAAAAAAAAAGGCTGCATGAAATACCAGAATTTTCTGCTACATCTTTTGACTGCATGTGTGCAAATTTGGCCCAGAAAACATTATCTAACAAAAGCTTCTAGAAACGAGCCATTCTGAGGATTATTCTAACACTCTGAGAATATTAAATACTAATACGTGATGTCTTTTTCACATCTGAGAAACAAATTTGTCTACAGAGCAGAGGGACCTTTTATTTTATCCATTCCCCACATATCACCCAAAACAACGCTGGTTGTTCTTCTGAAGGCTTGTTTTCTGTAGTTTAAAAAACAAAGGAAAAAGAAAAAAAAACCACTACATTTTTTGCCTTGCTCTATCTGTGCATGTTTTATCCATTTTGTTTACAGATATTTTCATTTTCTGCTTCTCATTTGTGTAATTCAGGGCTTCAGTCATTACAGGGAAGTAATTAAATCCAAGCAATGAACTTGTTTAAAAAACAAAAAATAAGTAGAAAACATTACTGTAAATTAAAATTGTAGTCATATTTGTTAAACTCATAAAAAACAAAAGAATGACCTAAATAACTCACAGTATAAGTTAATATATCAAAGCTAAAATTATGGACATTCCTTTAACTTATATGCCTTACAGATTCTCCTTAGCTGCAATAAGAAGAAGATTGAGCCCTTAAGATTCACCAAAAGGTACACAAAAGGTAGGCATGTACCTTATAAGATGCTTATTGATCGCCTGTGGTTACTAGCTCTACATCAGGATATTCACTGCAACCAACCTGCAAGAGGATGGCAGAAGCAAGCAACTGAAGTCCTGGACCAGTGCACAATGAATGTCTGTTTAGCTTTTACAAGTGTCCTGGGAAAGACTTTTCAGCATGTCTCAGAACTAAATTTGAGTAAAATCTACTTATCTGGTGTTGCACTGAACAGATTGAGTCCTAATGCATTTTGGTGACTAAAGGGACAAGTGGCACACATACATAGCCTTTTACAGAGCAGCAAGCCTGGGTTTTCTGGTAGGCTGCTTCCAGAAACAGGTGGCATAAGGGACTGAGCTTTCCAGATACATTCACTTCTTTTAGGTCCTTTGTTCAAGTTATTCTGCTTCCCTGCACTCTTCTGGTAGCTAAAGATCTTCCACGTAACAGTCAGAAGGTCTGTCAGTGAACTTCAGAAACCTTTCGATAGAGCCTAAATGAACCAAAGTTACTTTTACTCTAGTTTTTCATGGGTTTTAATATTTCTTTTCATCTTAAAAACATTAATGAATAACTACATGACAAGAATGTTAGTTTACCGCTTTTGAATCATCGTATTTTTTCCTAAGTTCCTGCTTCCCATGTGCCACTGACTTTTATTTCTGTAACAAGATATTTGGAAATACTTTACAAGCTAATCTTTTACCATAAACTTGCTACATAAGAATTTGTGTTGACCTAAATGGCACATGTGTAACACATATATATTAAAAAAGTCAACAATAAAATATTTCTTACACAACACAAAATGATACAGAAATTATGTTTTAGTTGTCCTCATTACAAAATTTCTCACCATGTGTACATACATCAGGTGACATAATTTACTATATTTTTTCCAGGAGCAAGCATATATTCTTTAAAATAATGTAAGCAGTATGAGAAAAGTTAGTAAAG